TAAAGTTACAAAATTGTCTCATTTGTATGGGAATAAAAATTTTGGATCTGGTGTATTTTTGCTTTTCACTGATATCATAACATCATATGGTAATTGTAATCTTAATCAGTCACAAGTTACTATATCAAATTCTGCTTTTAATAATAACTTTCCTAATAATCAATGCCATGGATCAGACCTATCATATATTTTTTATGTCAATAGATCTATCAAAGGTAAACAACAACACAGTCATCAGCTTTATGTTTCTAATAGTAGTTTTTCAAGTCACATGTATGAACCACATGCCATAGGAATTATTTACTTTTATATACATAATCCTTCAAAAGAAATTAATGTGACACTGAATATTAGCCGTGTCACTTTTACATCAATTGCAACAAAAGGAACTGGAATATGTTTGCATGCAGTGTCTGATATCTCTGATAACTTTGCTAGAAACAGCACTGCTCAAATTATACTGACAGATATCACCGCAGAGAGAAATACTCAACTCAGCAGTTTGTACACACGTAACTACCATCAGAGTATTTTTGTTATAGAAAACTTTGATTTCATTTTATTAACTGGAAGGAGTACCTACACTAACAATCGTGGGTCCGTATTTGGCATCTTAAACACTAAAGTAATACTTGATGGTCAATTGCACTTTGAGAATAATACTGGGAACAGTGGATCAGCTTTTATGCTAACTGGTTTTAGCAGATTCATTTTAAAAGATGGGCTGAATGCAACTTTTATTAATAATGTGGCTTTTACTAGTGGAGAAGCAATATATGCATACAATGGCATAACATCAGAGTGTATGTTCACACCATTGACTCCATTGGAAAATGGTTCTAATATTACTATGCTATTCATTAATAACAGTGCTACATATTCTGGAAATGCTATATTCAGCAATAATCTTTATAGCTGCTCAACAATAAAAAACTTTGATGCTGTGGTAGCTAAAAGTTATTATCATGCTTTATCAAGAGGTACTCTTCTTAATAAAACAGATGATAAACAATTGTCTACAGTTGCTTTTAAGCAAATAATATGTTACAGTGATGCTTCAAATTTTTTAAATAGGGTTAAGGGTATAGTTGTGTATCCTGGTATGATATTACATTTTCCAATGGCTGCCCTTGATGCATTTAGCCAATCAACTAACACTGACGTTTCACTGAGTTTACTTCATTCTAAATATCCCGAAACAATATCATCAGAAGCTGCTCCTTCAAAAAATTGGTATGTTTCTCCCAACATCATAACTTTATCACAAAACAATTGCACAACAGTTAATTTCACTATATTTAAAAGAGCCGAACATGATATTTCATTTTTAATACTAAGCCTTCTAATATCTGCACAGGGAATATTTCCAGAAGGGGTGACACACTTAAATCCAAAAGATTGTCCAGCTGGCTTTAAATTCGACAGCTCAACTCATAAATGTGAATGCTCTCATGTATTACATAAAATTGATTTTCAACCCATTTGCAAAATTTCATCAGATGGTTTCAATCCACTGATTACAATCAACTTAGTGAACAAGCTTTATCAGCCATTCAACCTGGATTGGTACTCTTCACAATGGAACTGTTTTTGGAGTTTCATCTCATTGCTATAATTACTGCAGATATAACAGTAATCATAATGCTTTTGTCATCAATGATAGTGCTGGAAGTATAAATGTGATGATAATGATATCATGGCAGATTCAAGCGATTGTGAAAGTTTATGCTTAAATAATAGAGAAGGCCCTTTGTGTTCACAATGCATTCCAGGCTACAGTGTGACTTTTGGTTCTAATCAATGTGCAAAGTGCAGTAACTGGTGGCTATTGACACTAATAGCATACGGGCTAGCTGGACCTTTACTCATTTACTTGCTATATGCTCTCAATCTCACATTAACTACTGGCAAATTCAATGGAATACTATTTTATTCTCAGATGCTGAATAATACAAATGCACTGTTACGTTACCATAATGCAGTGAATCATGGATTTGCTAAATTCATTTTTTTTCTGTTCCAGGGGCATTCTATTGCTCATTAACTTAAACATCAGTTTTAACATTTCACTGTGCTTTTATGATGGCATGACAGAGCTTTGGAAATCCTGTCTTGGTTTACTATTTCCTGTTTATCTCTTGTCAATAGTCATTGGTCTCATTATAATCAGTCGATATTCAGTAAGACTCTCTAACAGAATAGCCAATTCGTCAATACAAGTACTAGTTACTGTTGTACACCTCTCCTTTTCTACACTCCTAATGTCTTTGTTTGATGTATTCACACCAGTTTATATACATACTAACACAAGTGATGTACCATTGGTTGTATGGCAGAATGATGGTACAGTTGAATATGGTAAAGGTGGTCATCTGATACTAATGATTGTTACAGGATTGACAGTGGGTACAATCCTTACAACATACCTAACTGTGTTACTAGCTGGTAGGCCACTTATGAAGATTAACAGAATCAGAGAGTATCTTCGCCCAATTTATGAAGCAATTCATGCTCCATATAAACCTAATAGAGAATTCTTTTTTTCCTTCTCTATAATTTTCGTTGCTCTTACATATTTAATCAGTACTATCTCTATTGGTACCAATCCAGCTCTTGGTATAGCAATTGGTATTTCAGTTACTTGCTTGTATATGAATATAGTTGGATTTTCCCATCCTTTCAAAAGCATGCACCTCAATGTCCTCAACACTGTAACTTATTCAGTTATTATCATTGTCACTAGTTCTTTTTGGTGTATTGATGATGCCACTGCTAGCATTAAATGGGCAATTCTGGCTACATTTGGTCATCTAATCATCATTATCATCTTGATTTGTGTCATTATGAGTCAATTTTCATTTGGGAAGAAACTTTTCAACAGAATTGATAAGCTTTTTGTCTATACCAAGTTTAAGTTTAATCGTCCAATTGTTCATCAAAATGGAAATTTAAATGATTGTGATTCCTTTTATCAGTCATGCAATGAGAGAGAACCCCTTCTTCACTCATAATTAATAATGTTTACTTTGATTATAATTATAATATAGTTCATAGTTAGTTAGTTTGTGTTATACTTTTATTGTGCACACAATAAATTAATGTTTTAATCCAAAAGACAATTAGGAATGGTGAGTATAGATGTTGTTGCTTTTGAGTGAAATAACACTAGATATGCACTATGCTAGTGCCATGTTTATACTTGAAGTGTTTTCATATTACTTTACTGTCAAGTTGTATTATTATTATTATTATTATTTATTGTTATGATATATTTTAATTACTTTCAGTTTGAAACAAAACTGTCAACATAATTTTCACTATAGTAAACAGATAATTGTACAGTTTATTTGCTTTCAATTAGAAGCAAAATTTTGTCAAGATAACTTTCACTACAGTAAGCAAATAATTGTACAGTATGATCATTAGTCAAGCATGTATATATAGATCTAGGTACCGGTATTATTCTCAGCTGTTTTTTTATCTAGTATTGTCTCATGCTAAAACATTGTCATGAACTAAAGAATAATATGCAATAATAGCTAGCACACTTTAGCATTAGCATGCATCTACAATTAATGCTTTGATAACAAGAGAATCATACATCAGCCATTATGTTAATAAAGGGATCTCAGTATGTGCACAAATTGCTTGTTGCAATGGAGAATATAGAGTGAGAGTTCCACAAGGAATGAATATACTTTAGGAAATATAGGTATACATTCACTACACAAAACACTATCTTCTTGATTAGATTCCAATAAGCAATCCTACACTCAGACATGGCACATGTACTGTATACACAATAGACGAGTACATACATGGGATTTTGCTTTGAAAGTAGATACATGTAGCTGTAGATACACGAAGATGGAAGTTTATTACACAGTCTAATCACTGACAGTTACCATCTTTGATCACACGTTACCTATGTTGACTAAGTCTTCACCCAGAGCACAATGCTATATAGCAGTGTCTGAGATGATGCTGTGATATAGATTCAGCTTTTTGACGTAACTGATGCGATGTCTGCCTGTACACTATGTAACAAATTAACCATGTATAATGCCAACTGTATTAAGTACTATGTGCTTCTCATATGATATGTCTCCTGTGAAGATGTGGTTTGACAATAAAAGGAAACCGTTTGAATGATATAGTAGTCATTGATATGACTAGTATCTACCAATTAATAAAAACAGGAAAGAATATATATATCTCCCTCTCTTCTCCTCATCTGTACTACTAAATATCTACTCACCAGCAGCTAATGCAATGATTTCAATACAAGATGTGCCAGTTGGAGAGAAGTGAAGAATACTGTTAATGGTTGTTTCCAGGACTTCTTTGATAGAGTGTGATAGATAGTACTACACTCTATAATCAGACCTAATATCATTTCAACATTAAGAACTGCTGCTATTGCTGAACTATTGAACTGACTTCAATTCCAAAAATTTAAATTGTTTTGAGAACTAATGTCTCATGATCAATAGAAACAAGAATCACTAAGCCTTTTATATAACAAAAAAAAATTTTCAAAAAAAACATTCAATCTCATGTCGGTAGTCTAAAATAACAAGTAAAGCACAGGAACGGGATATAAAAAAGTACTAGTAGTAGATTCATACAATTACTGTACATTTTATAATATACTTCAACTGCTGCTCAATACAACAATTGATGTAATGATGTTAAGAGTCTCAAAATGATAAAAATGAGTAAAGCATACACAAGAGTAACATGAAACATGGGGAAACTCCTATTCTAAGAGGTGTAATGGTAGCAAATAATGATACAGCAATGATTGCTTGAAAAGGATTTCCTTTGATAGAGTGGGATAGATAGTTACTACAGCACCATAAGCTATCAGAGCTAGAGCTAAATCAATGCAAACAAAACAACTTGCAGATAACAACAAGGGCAAGAAACAATAACAATTAGTTTTTATAAAAGTATTGATTACAAAACATTCATATTCAAGTACATGTAATAACAACAAACAAGGCACTCTAGGCACAGCATTGCAGTTCATTGTGACTGCATAAAAGTCAGTGAACAATGGTTCAAACCATATAAATACAGCAATAACATGAAATACTGGTAATTCAATTTTACAGTATCGTATAACAATGTCATGGATCTAACTATACAAGTGATTAGCAGCATGAACTGATGCTGAATAAAAATTTAATGGCAAGAAGGAATAACAATGTGGAGTGTAAAAATAAAAAATGAGCAACTGTTAATAATTAACATTGAGGTAAGGAAATATGCAATAAGCTTCAGCAGCATACACAAATGTGAAAAGGAAAATATGGGACAAGAACACTTTTAATCTCAGGCCTGAAGTACGACTGGATAATAGGATTAGCTACTGTAATGAAGTCAAAACAGATAATAGCAAATGTTTCAAACCACACTGGTACATCAATGAACAGAGAAAGAAAGAAATAAAGGAATCCAGGTACAAAGCATATCCCATAGATGAGTAGCATACTTCCAAATACTCCAAAGAGTCTCTTCTTTTTTGAGGCATACACACTCCCTGCTGCTATCACTGACTGATTTTTGAAAAAGCTTCTAGTGAAACAAAAGGTCCAGAGAGAAGTGACAAATATTATCCCAAGTATAGTAACTGATAAAAGAACAAAATATATACTAAGGCCAATGCTATTTGAAGGTCTAATGCAAATAGCAATATACAAATGAAAAGCAAAAATATGGACATTGCTTAATGCAGCAGACAAAATCCAAATAGCAATGGTGAGGGTCAGTGCTACCCAGGATCTCATGAACCGCTTGTGAAGTTGTGGTTTGACAATAAAGAGAAACCGATCAAATGATATGGCAGCAACAGTCATTAATATGACTAATACCATCCACCAGAAAAAAAAGGCAGCAAATGTGCATGTCACTTTTTTCTCCTCATTCGTGCTACCAAAGACCCACTCACCAGCAGCTAATGCAATGATTCTGAAGGGAAGGTACAGTAGATTCAATACAAGATGTGCCAGTATGACAGAAGTGAAGAATATTGTTGATGATAGTTTCAAGGACTTCCATTGATAGAAGGTGATGGATAGTACAACACCATTAGCTATCAGAGCTAGTATTATCTGAACAATAAGAATTGTTGCTAAGACTGGACCACTGATACCATCAGTCAAAGTAAAGTTGCTTTCCATATACTCTCTGTTTCTCTGTCTGTCTCTTTTCTAACTATGCATGTAGTGCTGTATTGAAACTGATATCAGTGTGATAGAAAACAACTATACTCATGTGTAAACTTTACGGCGATAAAATTACTTACATTAAGCCATACTCTTTTGTTTAATGTATAATAAAGTCAATACATCACCATGAAACTGAAAGTATAGCACAGTATAACATTATAGCAGTGCATGCAACCAATGTTTTGATAGCACAAAATCAATATTATCAAAGGCGTCTTGCAAATTACATGTTGCAATGGAGATGCAAGAACTCTCCTAGCCCACATAAATTAAATTCAGACTAATATTTTCTTTGTCGGACTTAACTACAACAGAATTTTTAAAATTGCTTTAATACCAGTATAAATAGTAAGGGAAAAACAAGAATGACACAAATTCCAAGAGGACATATGAGACAAAAACACAGGCCTGAGGTATGACTGGATAACAAGATAGCAACTAATTTAAATTAGGGAGTTAAAAAATAAAGGACTCCATGCAGCTAGGTACAAAGCATATCACACAGAGAAGAAGCATGTGGCTTAATTCCAATTAGTCTTTTCTATTATGAGAAATTGCTACACTCTCTACTGCTTTCACTGACTGATCTTTGAAGAAGCTTCAAGTGTAACTTAACATCCAAAAAGAAGTAATGTTTATAAAATAATAGTTGTCCAATTCTCAAGGAATGAACCGGAATGAACACTTGTACTATATAGTGTCCAAACCCCTTTGTTGGCCTCAACCAGCTTTGCGTAGGTGAAGACTAGGTACTGCTGTTGTCTGTCTGTCTTTCATTTTGTGAGCAACATGCAGATACAGTGTATTATTATTACTATTATAATTCATAGGGTCAGTGATAAAAATTAAGCAGATGCACCATTTATTAGACACTTATATATTTGAAATAAATAATGAACAACTATACACTGTTATGGTACAAAAATCAACTAACTTTTAAAAGCTGAATGAATAATAAAAAACATGCACTGTGATGCACATGAACAAATTATGCAAGGAGGAGAGTATAAACTCTTTGAAATATGACATGATGAATAAAAACAGTGGCCTTCCAGCACCATTAATCAAATGAACAAAACAAGAATGATGAATACAAAAGAAAATACAACATACACAAAAACAACAAGTTGCAGCAGCAAAGCAACCAACATGTCAATGATTTGTTGTTCACATCAACTTTATCAAAAATTTAGTAATTCTGAAATTGTGAAATAATGGGTGCATAAAGACCATGACTTATGATATCATCTCAACAACAAGAACTGCCTACCACAAATTTCAATATTTCCCCGGCTTTCCCCTCTAAGTTCTAACACACACTATACATACCATAACAATAATGAAGATAACACATGATATCATTAAAACATCAAGCATGCATGAAGTTATGAACACCTGCCAATTAAGGTGAACTTCTTAGTCATTATATACAATAATAATCTGAATGATTACTTGAACTGCTACTTATAAAATAACTAAAAGGTAATACAAAATACACAAATGACAGATTGAAAACTGAGACACACACAAGTTTTTAATAATTAGCAATGCTTGGTTTTAGCAGCATACACAAAATAGGAAAGGAAAATATGAGACAAGCACACTCTTGATCTCAGGCCTGAAGTATGACTGGATAACAGGATTAGCGACTGTAATGAAGAGGAAACAAATAGTAGCAAATATATCAAACCACAGTGGTAAAACAATAACTAGAGAAAGAAAGAAATAGATGACACCAGGTACAAAGCATATCCCATAAATGAGTAGCATGCTTCCAAATATTCCAAAGAGTCTCTTCTTCTTTGAGGCATACACACTCTCTCCTGCTATCAATGACTGATCCTTGAAGAAGCTTTTTGTGAAACAAAAGGTCCAAAGAGAAGTGACAAATATTATTACAAGTATAATAGATGTAACTGACAAAAGGAAAAAAAAGACGCCAATGCCAGCAGCTGGTGTAAGACAAATAGCAATGTACAAGTGAAAACCAAAAATCTGGACAATGCTATATATGGCAGAAAATATCCAAATAGCAATGGTGAGGGTCAGTGCTACCCAGGGTCTCATAAACCGCTTGTGAAGATGTGGTTTGACAATAAAGAGAAACCGATCAAATGATACAGCAGCTAGTGTCATAAAAATGACCAATACCATCCACCAAAAGATAAAAGTAATATAATAGCATGTCCACTTTTTTTCCTCATCTGTGCTACCAACGACCCACTCACGAGCAACAAAAGTAACGATAATGAAAGGAAGGTACAGTAGATTTAATACAAAATGTGCCAATATAAGAGAAGTGAAGAATATTGTTGATGGTTGTTTCCAGGACTTCCTTTGATAGAGTGTGATAGATAGTACAACACCATTAGCTATCAAAGCCAGTATCATCTCAATAATAAGAATTGTTGCTACTGCTGGACCTCCAACCTCTCCGATAAAAGTGAAATTGTCTTCCATTTCTTCACTCTTGTAAGCTCTAACTACTGTCAAATGTCAACCTCCCAAAACAAAATAAGTATACTTTATGCTAGTGGTAACACCAGTCAGTTGTACATTCCGTGACTAACCGAGGGAATTGTTTGGAAAGATGCATGAGTAATCAAATATTTAATTATGAACTGAGGCTAAAAAACACTCTATTCTTTTACTGATAAACCATAGCACACCTTTCAGATGTCCAAGAGTTCAATCAAAACTGGCTACCAAACTCTCTATTTCATGATTGAAACTGTGCAATGCTGCAAGAGGTGTCAAACATCTGCATGTACATGTACAATATATGCAGCCCCAAAATTTTGGTTAGTGCACTGTAACACAAAAAATTCCTTAACTTTTCTTTTGAAGTAAAATTTACTATTCGCCATTAAACTTCACAATAAAGTATCAATGATTTACATAAATTAACAATGAAATATAACACAATAAAATCACTTCAAATAAGTTAAAAACTGTAAAAATAGCAGTACACAATTTTACAAGAGCAGTAATCTTTTATATCAACAAAAATTAATTATAAAAATTGAGGTTCCAAATGGAGTTTTTGTGTCCTTGTGCTATTACCTATAAAATAGTTCTTAACAGATTACTAAACAAAATATTGAGGTGTACCATTTCACATAGACATCATTAGTTCCAATAGTTTACAATTGCTCAGTTATTGATTCTTTTTCTCAATCTAAACTAAAATGATAAGCCATTGATAGTCACAATATTCCCTTTATTCAAATTCTAGCACACAACACTTTTATTCATCTCACCCAGCTTTGTGTAGGCAAGGGCTAGGTATTAATGTTGTCTGTCTGTCTTTTTTGTCAGTTTCCTGTAACTCTAAATCTTTATATAAATATACATGTATATGAAGATGCAAGAATAAGCTTTTTCCACAAATTTAACTGTTACACACAGTCGCAAAAAATGATAATTAATAAGTGTAATGCTGTTCCATTCAAGACAGCCCACTGTCACACAGGGTCCCGATAAAAGTAGGAGTAAGAGTGGGAGTAGGAGTAGGAGTTTGCTAGATAAAAGTAGGAGTAGGAGTAGGAGTTAGAAGTAAATGAGTGGGTGGATACCGGAAGTCAGCCGCCCACGCAACGAGTGAAATTAAAAGTTTCAGTGGAATATTTGTAGTTACTGAAGAATCAGTCAAATAATGACTAGTCTGAGATATTAATTTTTTCATTTCCATTGTGTACTTAAGTTCTTTATTATTCTAAAGACTTTAATGAGAACAAACAAAAGCTTTAAAAATAGCATGATGTTAGCTACATAGACATTTGAGTTGTATGGTATCTCCAATACAATTTTTAAAGTTATATCAATGATTTGTGTAGATCTATATAAAGGTGTAGCACATGTGTTAATTAATTAATGGTAGCATTGTAAGTAAAATTAGCTGTAATTTAAAATTGATTTATTTTAGTTTAATTATTTTTAACCACAACATTGGTTTCTATTTTTTACTGAAATTAAACATAAAAAATTATTTCCTCATGTAATAATTAGCATTTTAAATTTTAATGTAAGCAGTGTGTTATGTATAATAATAACGCTAATAATAATACTGAATAACAACAATAATAATAGTGTAAAGTCAGTGCTATTTACAGTAAGAAAATTGTTTCACACACATTAAGATGAAATCAAATGTTATAAAATGACAATGAAATAACATTTTGGAGGGGATTAAATTTGGTGAATTTGGCGTTTTGATAGCCATTTGTCAAAATTAAAAATCCGCCATTTTAAACCATTATACGCATACTCAATGGCACGTGGCCCCAAATTCACCAAATTAAAATCCACCAATCACCAAAATTTCTATGGTCAAATATTCTACCCACTTACTACATATAGCCAGTCAAATCCGAGGTCAAGCCATTCAAGAGTTCAAGACACCGAAAGTTTAGACTAGTAGCCTCCCACGGTGGCGTTGCAGGCTCAATACTTTGGCCTAAAAATGACAGACCGTTAGAATTTTCAAAATATCCAGCCAAATAAACTTACAGGCTACAGCTGATATGCATTGAACCAAAAACAAAGTGAATCCCGTCCTGACTTTGACTTTGAGCCATGATTAGTTCGAGCTGGATTAGTTACTACAGTTAGCTCTATTTCGGGGATTTCCCCATAAACCGTAGATTAAGATCACTAAGATATACGGTTTATGGGTAAATCCCCTCAAAAAAGGCTCAAATTCAATAACTAGCTAACCATGGCTCTAGCTTGTTCAGAAGAAAATCACGATCAGGAAGGGATTCACTATGTTTTTGGTTCAGGGCATACCAGCTGTGAGTTTATTTGGCTTGATATTTTGAAAATTGTAACGGTGTGTCATTTTCAGGTCAAAGTATCCAGCCTGCAACCCCACATTCCTCTAATCCTATTATTTTTTCATCTCCGTCGTACCAAGACCTCGATCACGACTATGAAGTTGATGGTAAAACAACTTAAACTATTAGTATTGTATGCATGCATTAGTGAGTTGCATGTCAGTTGTCATTTTACTCATAGCCGCCTGTGTAGTTTACTACAAATCTGGCCTTGGACCGCCTCAATTTTATTGTCCTGAGTCGCTTAATACAAGCTTGGACCTTTAATTACATGTAAAATATATACAGTGGTGCTATAGACCTCTAGAGCTAAGAATGAATTATGTCACTAGAGTAATTAGGGTAATAGGCATAAAGAAATAAGCTCAATGGACAGCAAGTTACTATGGAGCGTCAATGGGCAAAAGCATAAAGCAAGCTGCAAGTGTACATTGTGTAATAAAATAAAGAATCAGCTGCTCATTGCACCAAGTCTGTTTTATGAAATGCAAGTACCCATTTTTTTCTAGCCAACTTTTGAAGCTACAGTACAGTGGGAAAAAAAGCTAAGTACATACTTTACTTTTGTGCAGGTACATGTAGTTTGCTGCTCCTTCGTTGTGCATGTACAAACTCATCAGTAGTAGTAGTGCACGTGGTCAGCAGTAGGACAGTAGCTCGATGGTGAATCAAGCGAAGAGCCTCCTAAACGGCCTTCTAAAGGCAGAGAGCAGCAGTAGAGATGAACTTGGAGAGCAAAGACAGCCAAGAGAAGCATCCTCAATTTAGTCCTTTAAGAGCCTCTGGAGCATGTGAGCACTTGCTACTACAGAACATGTGACTGGGCGGTACTGCAATATTTCCTAGGCGTAGCACAGTGAAGAGTAGCGAAGTAAAATAACTACCTACGAACTACCTGCATACTACTTATGCTACTTAGCTTTTTTTCGCCTAGCTTGTACTGTAGAAAAATTTCCAGACCAGTCAAAGAAGTCCTTTAATGTTTTATGCATATATGGATACCGTTCTCAAAAATAACGATTTTCATGTGCTTCTTCATTCACAGATCTAGAGGTCGATATAAGGCAGAAATTATTCTCATCAGCGATATCACTCAATGAGTTCATTGTATAATTAAAATATCAAAATGGTGACATTATTATAAGATTCTATTAATGCTACAGCATCCAAACTTTTGAGCTTTACTCTGTTAAATTAAATTCCTTTTATAAGGCTTTAGTACCTAACGATATTCAAATCTACTCCCATTTTTTTCAATATATCTACACAACTCATTTATGTAAATTTATTTTAACTTTTCATTATAAATTGGCATTATTGGCTACACAATCATGGCAACCTTTACAACATTTTGTAATGGATATAACACCTGTCTAAATTTTTGCAATAAATTCCTACCTCTTCACATTAGATAAACAGTGCTTATTACATGGGCAAGTTCACCCCATGCCTCCTGTATCAGATGAAGTACGTGTAGAAGATGCATCAATAAGTAGTAAATTTAGTGAATCTTCCTCATTGATACAGCGGCAGACCGTTACTGTGAATCAAGGTATTTTTATTGTACTGCAATAATAAGTTTACAAATAAAAATGAACTACATGTACATGTACATGTATATACACCATACATGCAGATTTTAAAATTGATTACAGTGTCGTCAATGTGTCTAGATAAAGTTTAAACGGATTTTTATACACAAGCACAGTGGCTTAATAATTAATTTTGTTCCCACCGATCAATTGCTTAGTTTTTGCAGTGAGCTACAGTGCTAAACATTAGTACATGTACATGTATGACATTTTTACATGTGCAGTAGTGTACTGTACATGCTGTGTGGTTAGTATTTATTGTAGTGATAAGTATAGTGGGATTTATTGACGAAGGTTTTATTTTGACGAATTGACGATTTAAAATAAAATGTCAAATTTTATAACCAGCAAAAAATTTGTACTTCGTACCACGTGTATGCGAAGGCACAAATTTTTTTATTTGTCAAGTTAAAACTCATCAATCAAGGAAATTGTTTTACTGTTTTCGTCAAATTTTAATAAAGCCCACTATACAGTATTAAGTTTTATTAATTTCATAGTGCATTTTTATCCATGAAAATTTCAACCCCTAGCAACTATGCATGGATTGAAACTGTACACTGTACATGTAATTAACAGGCCATGCAGTGCTGTAACTACTGTTGTCAATAAAGATGCACCGATATGGCTTTTTGCCAATATTTCATGGGAAATATATACCGATACACATGTACCAAACCAATATTTTCTGTCCTACCTATTAGGCACAGATATACTTATACACTTGCAAATTTATTGTCCTGCTGGCCTTCCAATTATAGAATCATTTTTGACATTTTTCTAGCTCTTAATGTCTTACAATTAATGTGTTGCTACATGTTTATCCCAAGGTGCATGCAAAAAACTAATAATACTATAATGAAAACAGGCCGATAAGCCCAGATCTGAAGTGCCAATTCGATTATCGGTGCATCTCTAATTTTCAAGCCATGCAGTGGAAAAGCCAGAATCTTTGTTCAGTTTGCCATGATTACGTGTATTTTTAGCCACAAATATTAGCTTAATAGCTTTTAAGGTAATTTTGGAGAAAATGAAATTTTGGACCCTTGAATGTTACTCCATAATATTTTTAAAGTATTAAATTTTGTATTTTGGAGTTTCGTGAAATTAAATTTTGCATTTTCTCATACATGTAGTTACATGTAAGTTATCGTCATGAAATTAAACTTGCCAAATATTGACAAAATAAAAGTTTTTAAATTTAAAATATGGAATTTTTTTCAACACCATTTTAAACAGTGCCATATATACATGTATGTACACATGTAATTCTCAAATTTTGAAACAACTTGCAAAATCGAAAAATACATGTACAACATGTATAAGCCCGATACATACTGAGTGTGTACTCTTAAATAGAGCCTCAATTAATAGCCTAAGAGGCTACACGTACATGTGTATAGATTAAGAAAGTGGAAATCAAGTATGGAAAACTTAGTTGAAGCTTCTCTATTCAGGAATAATTTTTAAAAATTATACTTAAAATGAATAACACTTATTGCTACCTGAAAAAGATCTGTTTTTGGGATTGTTGCAAATTTGTTCACCAAATACCGTACAAGATGATTTATTGGCAAGAGTATTATTTGGTGAATTTGGAAAGGAATTGGCAAATTTTATTTGGCAATTTTGTGCCATGTGCCATTAAGCATGCTCAGATTTAAACAAAATGGTGGACTTTATATTGATGATTTCCTCATTAACCGCCCATCGCCAATATTAATCCTGTATGGTATTCATACTTTACTTCATTTTACACTTGTGTGTATGTGCAATTGCAAATTATTATTTTGATCAAAAGACCCTTAAGTCAATTTATACAGATGTACATGTACATGTAGAATTATACTGAAGTTTTTCCACAGCAGATTTATTCTTGTATCTTTATGATCATCATGTAGGAAAAAGAAGAGCGTCCTTCATAGTTGTTTTACTTGTATTGGCTGGAGTTTTCTTCCTGCTGGCAGTAGGCGTCTCTGCATTTGCATTATCTTTCCAGCATGGTGGATCAGAACTAGTGGTTAAAGGAGACAATGTCCTAATAAGCTGCTCTGCCACGTGGTGGTTGCTAAAGACGATGGCATTTCATTTGTACAACAAAACGGGCAATTCAATATCGAGTTTGAATGGCTCGCTGCAATTGGTTATGATTTCTCATGAGGAACTTATTGACTCCATTAGCAGCAGACAGTGGCCCCTTGATGGCACAGAGAATGCTTCAACCCAAGTGTCTGAAGTTGCCTCAACAGGAAAATTGTTTTTTAGCAACTGCTCAATCTACGGTAATAAGTGCATCTTGGAACAATACCTTTATCTAGTGGATTCACCTTCGGCATTTATCAGTTTTAATTTTCATTTCTCAGAATTTGTTCCTGGAGAAACTACAGTCAGGGCAACTGTATTTGATAGTGCAGCATCTTTTCAAAGCTACCTCAAAGAGTCAGGTTCTCTAGAGTCTCTTTCTATTAAAAATTCAACTGCAGACCTTCAAGATTGGAGATTCGACCTTACAAGCAAAGAAATGAGACGATCCTCATACATATTCATTATTATTGAGCTTATAAAAGGACATGTGAGCTGGTTTACTTATGAACGAGATGGGCAAGAGAACTATTATAAATTAAAAGATAGAAAATCAGTCTGCACACTGAATCATATTGAAAATCAATGTAGAGTAAATACTTCTCCTTCGACACAATTCAAAAACTGTATTATAGCCCGATTCCCGGGAAGAAGGACACCACCAGGTGAAGTACCCAGTCCCAGTGACATGACATACTTATCGTACAAGAGAATTCGATTCATATTAAGTGGAGCTGGCATCCTTCTTGGCATAATTTCTATATTCTCTGTAGTAGCTGCCATTGTTCTTATTTGTGTATCATGTCGTAAAATATACAAAAATTGCAAATGCTTTTTATAATGTCCTTGATTTATTAACTGTATATTTTATATTGTCTCAGACTCTCAGTAACCATTTATATTTATGTTGTGATTTACATTTTGTTTGTGTATAAAAGTTGAAATTATCAGATTAGTTATCCAGTTAAAATTATAGCAATTCTTATGCATGTTAGACTTGAATGTTTTTAATAAGGGCATTAATCAAGATGCAGGATAAAAGATAGGAACATTTGCATGAAAAAATTATTGGTACATTACAATGTACATGTACATACATTTGTTGTAAAATGGATTTAGTGTACACTGCTGCTGATGGATTGTATTTGTAATGTTTTTAAAGTCGGCAATGTCTCTAAAATTGAGGATAAAGCAAGATATCCTATCTTCCTTAATGAATACAAAGAGAGATAAAGGTGAGGGAATCAATGCTTTTCAATGAAAGATTGTTTTGATTAATTTAATAATTTATAGGATCAAGTAAGGAGACCACCCCAAGTCCCCAACTCAGTCGATGACAACAGTACTTGACACTTGGAGGAGAATGGGAATAATGTAAAGAAGAAAACAGAAACATATTTTTAAGGCAGTAAATGAAATTTTACAGTAGAACATAACTAAACAACAAAAGTCAAAAAATGTAAAACGTAAAATGTCCATCATCAAAGAGCATTCCCCTAATGGAGAGTGACAGAAAGGCATTCTCGTTCCCAGAATACTAATTGAAATGCATACCTCCCTTCTTACACAAAAGACCACAAGGTCCAGACTACATACAGAAGCCCCACAATGACGACAGGAGTGAGAAGTACAGGCAGAAAAACCTAGGCGGGGAAAGCAAAACAGATCCTAATTAAGAGTGATGTGCATTGTACATGTACATGTACATATACAGACAAACAGTATTTAATACACTGACTTGTCCTTCACTTAATTAATAAGTATAGACAGTGATGAGTACATTAGTCTTAAACCAGACCCACCTGTTTGAACTTGTACGGGTTCATTGAGGAAGAATATCCTCTGATGCCAGTGAGTGGGTGTATCTTGAGAACTAGTACTGAAGTACACACTACAAATGATAAGAGGGAACCTCAAGCCCAATGACAAAGTATCCAAAAAGACTCTACAACATATAAATACCGTATATTAGGTATATTTCAATGCATTAATTAATAATTTCAGAAGAAGCAATCCATTGCAAAAGTAAATATATTATAATGAAATTTAAAAACACAGGTAAAAAGGAATGGAAGATATGTGGTATTGTGCAATTGTTATGAACACGTGGTTTCATAACTATCCATGGCTTCATTCTATTCTAAATCAAAGGCTAAAGAGCCTTCTTTGCAAGTTAAAAGTGTTGCTAAGGTTGATTCAGAAGCAGAGAAGTCAGCAAATGCTTCAATTTACTTACCAGACCAGGTGGTTGATGGAAATAATAAGAAGTAAAATATTTTTGGAATATAAATGGCTTCTGAATTATTCCATCATTGAACTTTATGTTTACACCACTTTTCATGCATTGAAATATATACAAAATAGCCGATATATGATAATAAAACAGACTTTAGGGAACTTGATACATGTACACCATTGATCAATACTTAAGTTACAAAGGTAAAAACACAATAATTAAGAGTGATTTTGAAATAACTTTTCAAAAATTGCCTTAGTTTAAAAATGGCCAGAACTCACAATTCAAAAAACGTAAAATTAATTTGTGGTGATTTCCTAACCATTTCTTGTAAAAGGAATAGGCTATATACAGCCTATGTGTTTCTTTAAAAATTTGCTCATTAGAAATGCTAATAACTCAAAAATTATTTGTCGGAAACAGCTCAAACTTTCTACATAGCATAAGGACATAAATAAATGTATCAGAAAATGTAATAAAAATTTGGGGTGATTTCAGAGCCATTTTTTGGACAAAAGCATGGGCTATATACATGTAGCCTTGGCCCTTGGGTATTTTTGGCCTATTTTTAAAATGCTCATGACTCAAAAAGTACTATGACTTTTCAAAAACAGCTGAAATTTTCTACACAGCATAATTAAGGCCATCAATACATACATATTATATCAGAAAATATAATAAAAATATTGAAAGTGATTTTGGAACCAATACAAAATCATAAACTCACTATATTATCATTTCCTCTTGCCACCAGTTGCTGATGATTTGGTGACTATTGAATCCCACAGACCTCCTGGGTGTGGTCTAATAGTCTCCTGGTAGACGTGGGTCCCACTGTAATATTGACCCACTACATATCACCAGTCCATGACAGGGAACCTCTGAGAGAGAGAGTGTGTAATTGAATTGGTTTATTGACAAAATAGACTTTAAAATATTTATTACTAATTTTAATACAAAAAACATAAATACATGTAATGTAATGTACATGTACATTGCATTCTCATGCTGTGTAAAATATTTAAACTAATTCTCATCACTAAATTTTGGAGCTACGTGTGTCCATGTACACATGTCAAGTTGGAAACAGTGAAAAATATGCCAAATTTTTAGAAAAATTTACGAGATGAAAGCAACAAAAATCTATTACTACAATTTTTATTCTTTCAAATGGTTACTGGGTAAACACATTAAAAATGAAAGTGGCATTGGCTGTTTATAAAAATAATTATGTCATACATATAAATTTATACTATACAGTATTTATTAAAAAGACACATTAATATTCTTACCCAGGAGGTAGCATAATATAGCTTTAATTTCATCATCACAACTTCCTTTCTGGCCACACCTCGCCTCACTCCACCAGGTACCCACTAGTGATCCTTACCTACACAACATCACCTGACTAACATCACATGTCACATTCATTTAATTAAGAGGATGACATTAAAGTGAAGAGACTCAAACCTTCCTGACATATAGGAGAGACTATAATAGAAAGAGAGGGAGGGAGAGATATGCATAAAGGATATGAAAAGGATCTCAGAAAGGGAGGGAAGAAAAGAAACAAGTGAAAAAATGAAAAAAATGGAGAAAAAATAGTTAGAATACATATGTACATGTATACATGGAGAAAAATGTTTCCTGTTTTTCTATCACTTTTCCTTGAAACTGTGTGTGCCCGTGCTTAGGTACATGTATACAGTTTTCATGGATCATAACAAATTAAATAGTTAACTATAGATACAAGGAAGTAGCTAGGTTAATTATATTCATGCCAATCACATGCACATAAACTAAAATGGCATCAAACCACAAACCTATGCGGCGTCTGTAGCTGCATTTTGTCTGGATTTCTGGTCCTTCACTGATGTACAAAAAAATGATGTGAAAGCCAACTTGACTGTTTTCTGGTTTAAAGATATCCATATTGATAGAAGTAAAAGAAAAAAGTCGAAGAATTTTGCAGAAATTTGAATTTAGACCTATTCTCCAGAAGAGAGTCTGCTACATTACAGTCCACTTTAAAGGTACCAGGTGAATTGCTCAGTAAAGGAAACTTCATCTAAGCAATTTATAAGGCTGTATAATGTAAAAAAAGAGTTATAAGAGCTTAAAAATCACAAAAACAGCCACCATCTTGAAAAACCAACCTCAATCCTACATACCGCATAGCTAGAAAAGTTTGTGGGAATTATATTTTACGATTTTGTACCTACATGTACATGTATATAGCTATTTTTAATGTTTGTGGAATTTAATTTTGCTAGTGTAGGCGTGTACTGTTGATACACCTATTACTAATAATGCTTTGCGGAATTAAATTATGCATTTTTATGATGAACAGCAAACAGCAAAATTAAATTCCAGCAAATATTTCCAGCTATACGATATAGGCTACTGCCTAAAATACACATGTATATGTACATGCATAAATTAATGCACAGTGTTATGAAGACAAATACTGTCCATGCAGTATAGCTAATAGGAGGAGCACATGAAATAAAAGCTAAGATCCCTCCGTCACTCTCACTTACTCCTCATTATTTCAAGTTTTCTCATTCAATCTATTCTCTCATCAACATTATTCTGATACACATGTACATACACTATGATGTATAATGGTACAGTACATGCACATGTATCCATTTCCATTAGTGCCACGGTTTGAATCTAATTCAATTAAATATTAGGACTTACATGTACATGCATTGGCGGCAGTAAAACTAGACCTGCAGTCATCATTTCTTCCTTTTATTTAGAGAAAAAGACAAAAAAACCAGTCTAAACCCAACAACAAAAAAAACAGCAGCCATTTTTGCATAGGACTACACCCATTTTAATAAAATTATTGGTGTTCAGCCCCCCCCCCAAATTAATTATGTTCCGCCGCCTATGTGTACATGTATCCATTTCACAGACCATAGGGGTAGGAACAGGAGGGGCAGGAGGGGCTTAAGCCCCCCAACTTTCATTGAAGGAGGGCTTAGCCCCTCCAACTTTAAGTGATACAAGAACATAAAAAATTTAAAAAAACAAGATGAAGTAGGATTCCGAACGACCAACGAAAATACGAAATGAAAATCCTACTCGTGACGCAAATCAAC